TGTCCCAAAGCTCCGGGCCCACTCAGCCCCGTGCTGCACTGCACAGAGCAGAACAAAGCCGTGCTGCCTCAAATTCCTCCAGCACCGGGCTGGGGGCTCTGCGCTGCTTTCATTTCCCAAAGCCAGCTTTGTGTTGTGCCCTGTTGGCCCACTCCCACGCTCCAGCACGGAATAGCTCGAAAGATTTTTTGTTTGTTTGTTTGTTTTCTATTTTAAAATAAAAAGAAAAGCGATTGCAAAGCAGAAAGGACCATTTTGGGGGTACATTTTGCAGTGAAATCAGAGCTCGGGCTGGGAACCAGCAGGGCAGCCTCCATGCAACGCTCTCCAGGCACTGATCCCTGCACCACTCCTTCCTACACCATCCCCACACTCATAGCAGAGACTTTTATTTTCGTACCCACACACACCAAGAAAAAAATGCACGACGGATTGGAAGTGATATTTTCTCTAAACGCTGCTTTAAAGAGTAAAAATCTGAAAGCGTAAATCCGAGCATCATGACACAACCCGGGCTCGGTTTAAAAACTACAAGGATTCTGCGATTGTTTTTTTTCGTTTGTGAAATAATTAAACCCTCACAAATATTCCGAGCAGATGAGTGTTCGTTCGCCGTTTAATCTCAGCGGTCGCACAACGAACTGAGATTCCGAAGGGGGCTGAGAGAGCTCGGCGCGATGGAGCTATCAAACATCCCCCAAAGATTTAAAGCAAAGCACACGTGGCTGCTCCTCTCGCTGCCCCACAGCCCGCAGCCATCGGGGCAGGACGGAGGACCGCAGCGCTCCGCCGTGTCCTTTAGCATTCGTTAAAACATCGACTCGATGGTCCGTAACAAAGCGCTGGAGCTGCGGGCGCACACAAAACAACTCCATCGGACGGTTCTGCGGTGCAAAAGCATCGCATTTAGAGCCGCTCAGCTTTCGGGCCCCTCTCATCGCACCTCTTTCAGGCAGATGCTGGAGATGGAAGCGCTGCTGCTTACCCCGCTTTCTGCCGTCGGTTCTGTCCGTTCCGATTTCGGGTTTCCCTTTCGGCCCGGAGCGCGATGCCCGGCCCGTGGCATCGGAGCCTGAGGGATGGAAGGGGGAAAGCAACGTGAGCCAGCAGCTCGCAGCGAGGTCTGTAAGTCCTTGTATGGCAGAAATAAACGTATTACACAGTTATTAGAAATTTGGCGCTGGCCCTGTTGAGAAGCCCGGCTCTGGCGCTCTGTAATTCCTCCCGAGAACAGAACTCAGCTGTTGCTCTCCGTACTCGCCGCGTTTTCACTGGCCAAATCCTGCCACTTTTTCTCAGCCCTCGGCCACTCAAACCCGCAGCAGCGGTGCGAACCGCTGCGTTCCCGCTGCAGCCTACAGCTCCGTGCCAAAGCGCACGGCCGCGGCTCCCCACCCCCCGTCGGGGCGGCCGTCGGGGCTGGCAGCTCCGCAAGGCTCATAGGATTTGGGGGTAAAAAGAAACAATAAAAGAGAGCCGCATCGGCAAGGGCTGCGCGGCGGGGCATCCCCGCAGGTAGCGCGCAGCCGCAGCCCTTTCAGGTTTTGTTTTGTTGGGGTTTTTTTTCTTCTTTTTTTTTCTTTTTTTTCTTTTTTTTTTTTCTTTTTCCCTGGCCGCGATTGTAATTATTAGAGAAAAAGCGACAGTGAGCTTTTATTAATCGCCGGTGTTCAGGGCCAAGGCATGAGCTCGGTGACAGTGATGAGTGGTGTGGAGAGCCGGTCCCTGGAAGCAGGGCTTATCCTCCCCCTTTGCCTGCTCCCTGGACTCGGCGATGATGAGCCACGAATAGAAGCCACCCTGCCGTCGGGGATCCGGCCGTTTATCTGCCGGGTGATGACAGTCGGGGTGTGTTGGAGCCTCGCCGTGGATTGCCGGAGCCTCTTGGAAGCACCGCGGATACGGGGTCGCTGAGGTGGTGGCAGCGGCCGCGGCCTCTCCCAGCCACGACGGCCCCGGCCCCGACGTGCGGTCGGAGAACAGCGGAGCCTGAGCGCTGTGCGCAGGTGGACGGGCACGGACGGCCCCGGCCCGAGAAAGGCCCGAAGCGGCCCCGCTTCTACAGACGGGGAGGGCCGGGGCTGGAGGGGAGGAGGGGGAGACTTCGGCTTTGTTTTAATCAAATAGTCCCCACTCGGGATCTCTCCCCCTTCCTCCCCCCAGCCGTTTTTGCTTGAGAGACAAAAACAGCGCTGAACGTAGGAAAGAGGAGGAAACGCCCGTGATTGCAGCTGCGGGAGGAAGGGGTGGAGGGAGGCAAAACCCAAACAAAGCCGAGCACCAGCACACAGCCGACACCGAAATCACATCACCGCGCAGCCGCTGACCCCGAGCAGAGCCACGAGCAGAGCCACGAGCCCGGCTCCGAGGTCCGGTACCCCTCGCCCGACCCCCCGGGCTCACGTCGGGGCTCGATCTCACCTGCCGTCAGCTCCGCGCCGCTGCCCCGCCTGCACGGCCCTCTCTGCCCGGCCCTGGTCTGTCTTTCTTTCTACTTTTTTTTTTTTTTTTTTTTTTTTTTTTTTTTTTCCTTTTTCTCTCTCTCTCTCTCTTTTTTTTTTTTTTTTTTTTTTCTCCTTTTTTTTTTTTTTTTTTTTTTCCCCTTTTTCCATATGAGTGGAGGAAAGGTTCATTAAGAGGTTGACCCCAGTTTACTTTTTATTCCCCTCCTGTTCCCAATTTTGGCACCACGTGACGGTGGGAGTGAGTTTGGGTTGAAATTCACTTTTAGGCGAAGAAAAAAAAAACATATTTAAAAAACTATAAAAAATAAAACTCCTGCCCTGGAAAGGCCCAGCAGCCCATTGAGCCTGGTTTGTGTAAGCGGCCTCCAGTTCCGGAGGGGCTATCGTGATATAGGAACACTGTGGGTTGTCACGACATGGGGTAGCACATCCCTATGGCTACGCGTTTTGGCTGCGGGTGGGTGTGAGGTGAGGGGTTGCTTTTGGTAACCACAACAGCAGAGAGATGCGATCCATTGAGTCACGACAGCCCTCGGTGGCTCTGTCTCTGCTCTCAGGGTTTCTCCTGGCAGTGGGAACCCCGAGAAGGCTGAGGGCAGAGGCTGTGGGGGCTCCAGCCCTGCGCTGTGTGGGACCTGCAGAGCATCCATGCCACAGCCGCGCTCACCTCGGGGCAGATCCGGAGGAGCGGCCAGGGCCGTGCAGCCCCTCCACAGCAGGGGGTCAGCTGGGGAAACCCGCACCCAAATTCTGTCCCAGTTCCCCCTCTCGGAGCGGCAGGGACGGTTCGTGGTGCAGCAGGGCCAGAGGTCTCACACACGACCCCCGACCCGTAGATTCTGTTCTACAGCCCCCGGCCCTCGTCCCTTCGCAGATAGGGAGCACCGGGCCCGCCGGGGTCTGGAGGGGGCTGCGGGGCTGTGGGTGCACCCTCCTTCCCTGCTGCCTCCTCGCAGCAAGACGCAGCCCGGGCGGCCACGCTCGCCGAAGGCCCCGTGCAGAGCTAAGGAGAGGCCTCTGGCCGAGCACGGTGCGCCGTGAGCCGGTGCCCGGTACCCAGGACCGGTGCCGAGCTCTGTGCCGGGGCCGTCGGACGGGAGCGGGGCCGGGGCGAGCGGAACGGGCCCGGCGGAGCGGGCCGGAGCTGCTCTGTGGGGACGTGATTGACAGCGGCAACGTCAGCAACAGGAGGGGAAGGGAAAAGGGAGGGGGGAGACAAAGAGGGAGGGAGTCGAAAGGCCCCAAACTGGATCTTTATGGAACATTTTTCGCGAAGATCAAGGGAAAGTGAATCCGCGCAGTGGGGGATGCCCCGCACGCCGCTGCCATCGGGGGCCGCCGCGCCTCGCCCGGCCTGAGCGCCCCGCGCAGCCCCGCGCTGCCCCGCGCTCCCTTCATGCCGCAGCCGCCCCGAGGCGAAGCCAGGAGCCCCCCGCTGCGCCCGCTGCCCCCCGGCCGGCAGTGTGAGTCCGGGGCTCGGCGGAGGGAGGGAGGCAGGGAACGGAGGGAGGGAGCGCGGTGCGGGTCAGCCCCGCACGGGTGGCAGTCCCGCAGCACACCGGGCCCGGCCTCTGTCCCCGCGGCCTGCGCCGGCTCTGTCCCCGGCTGCTGCCTCGGCTCCTGCCGCCCCGTCCGAGGGAAGCGGTGCAGAGCTCGGGCAGAGGGTACACACAGAGCAGCCGCTGCATACGGTACAGCTCGTGCAGATCCGAGCGTGCTGCGTGTCCCCTGCACGGCCCTGTGAAGCACCGCTGAGGCTGGAGCTGGAGCTCCGTGGTACTCAGCCCTTCATATGGAGGCGTGGGGCCGGCAGCGGAGCGGTCCGTCGGGGCTACGGCTCCGGGGGACGTCAGCCGGTGTCGGGGCGAGCACGGCAGAGGCTGGGAACCCGCAGCTCCCCGCGTCCGTCCGTCCCTCCGCGCAGTAAAAGTCGGGCTTGATGCGCGGCAGCCCCGGCGGAGCTGTCAGGCCTTATCTTTATTGGCTTTTCCCAGTCTCCTTCCAAGTTTAAGAGGGGCCCTTTTATCTCAAGCCCTGCACTCCGCCTGTTTACGCTGCCCGGCTCCGCCGCAGCGCTTTGCCTGCAGCCCCGAGCGCCGTCGCGGAGCCCCGACGGGACGGGGACAGAGGAGCGGCCGGGCCGAGCCGCTCTCCCCGGCGGGTATCGGCCTCGTACGGTGACAAAAAGCGGAGAGGGGAGGAGAAGTGAGGAAGGGTCGGGGCGGGGAGGCTGCGGTCACATCTAAACGGAGCTGCCCGGGCTTCGGGCTGGAGCACGGCCACGCGTGGGAGGCCCCCTGGGGAAGGCAGGCGGGCCCGGCCCGGCTCGGCCAGGCTCTACCGGGCACAGCGGCTTCCCCCGGGGCCCGGGGTGTCACGTCCCAGTCTGCCGAGCTCAGGCAGAGGGACCGCCGCCTAACGAAGCACCTAGGGGTCCGACCCCGCCGGTGGACGCGGCCGGGACGGGGGGCTCGATCTGGACGAAGCCCCCGGTGCTGCGAGCTAACGGTGCACCTCTCTTCACCCCCTAAGGAAATGCTCCAGGAGAAAAGCCTGTCTGAAACCGAGGAAGGGTTTCCAACAGCCCCCGCACCCGGCCATGCGGACTCCTCCGCGGGCTCCCCCGTCCTCGGCGTAGCCGGGGGCAGCAGCACTCCGCTCAGCAGCCCGCAGCTCCCCGACCCCGAGCAGGTACGCACGGAACGCGCCGTCGAGCAAACGGTTACTGCTGCCCGTCGTGTCCTGCCGGGCCGGGAAAGCCGCTTCTGCTCTCGGTGAGGTGCCGGAGCTTCCCTCGGCAGTGCATCTTTCCGGGCTGTGGGTCGAAGAATCGCGATGAAATCGCTATTTTCAATTATTATAATTTTTTTCCCCTTCGTTTATTTATTTTTTCCCCTGCAAGCATGCCGCTGCGCCCCTCGGTGCGGTCATTCTGCACCGACACCTCCCGAGCAGTGTCCGGCCCGGCGATGCCTTTCGGCGCCGGTTTTGATGTTGCTGCTTTTTTTTTTTGGTCTTTTACTTTGACAAAACTAAACCTGGGCCGTTTGCGGCTGCTCAGCCCCAATTCCGCGGAATCAGCCGAGCAGCGCCGTGCGGCCTCGCGGCGTCCCTACGGCCATTCCAGGCCCCTCGGGCGCCGTCGGGGTCCGCCTGTGCCGCCTGGGCACAGAAAGCCCTAAAGAAAAATAATAATAATAACAAAACAATTAAAAAGTCCGTTTGGCCGCAGTGCCCGGCCTGGATGTGAAGCTCTGCAATTCAAAGCGAGCTCCGTTTGTTGCTTTTATTTGTGGCAAAGGGAGGTGGAATTTTCGGGACCCTCTCCTGCCCTGCAGCTCTTCCCGTTGCTCCGGTGCCGTCGGACGGCCCTTCCCAGGGCGCTCCCTGGCCGCTCGTTGCTATTTCTCATTCTCTTTATTTTATTTCATTTTAATTTGCAGACGATAGAAAATATCAAAGTCTATCTCCACGAGAAGGAGCTATGGAAGAAGTTCCATGAAGCGGGCACCGAAATGATCATAACCAAAGCAGGCAGGTCAGTGGGCATCCCCGGGCTCTTTTGTTTCTGATCCGTACTAAATGTCCCCATCCTTCAGCCGCGAACCGAGCACCGCTGCGATGCTGCAGTCGGTGCCATTAACAGAAATACATGGTCATCGTCAGGGCGGATTTCAGGGCGATCGTTTTTTCTCTGCAAACTGTGCGTGTTGGAGCGGGGCGGCAGCGAGGAGTGGCTGCAGGGAAGCGTTGGGTGCGATTAATGCCCGTTCTCTTTGGTGCTGCTTCTTTTTTTTCTTATTATTTTTTATTTTTCCAAATTATCCTATCAATTAATTTTTTTTGAGGACTTTACCTGAATTGCGGCTCCACTTCTAGATATTTCCCCCCCCTCTCCCCCACTCTGCACAGCGGGATTTTTTGGCACCAAAATGGTGTGCAGGTTTAGGGTGTGCTTTTAGGCTCGAAACTGGAAGATTGAGAGCTAACGCTTCTCAGTCCAAAATCCAAGGGAACAAAATTCTGCGTTTCCTTAGAAGCGAACTGGGTCCGAATTGGGTCCGAATCACAACAGCTTCACTCGAGGCAGGCTCGGGGGAGGGAGGAGGGGGGTGCACAGGGCCCGTCCGTGCTCGGAGCGCTGCGGGGATGGCAGTGGGACACAAAGCACAGACAGCGTCCCCCCCCCCGATCCCCCCCACGAGCAGAACGCAACCGCTGTGAGCATTCGGCACCGAAATACTTTTCTTTCCAACAAAGCTGCGAGGTGCCGGGCAGCGGCAGAGAACCAACATTGCCGAAGTTGGGTGTTAAAATGAGTTTAATTCATTTCAACTCGTTGAAACTTCTATGGGAGCAGAGCTGGGGGTTGGAGTTGAGGGTAGGGGGGATGTTTCTCTTCTCCCGTTGCCCCCCAGCCCACGGCCCGCGTTCGGAGCTTCTCTCTGCCCCCGGGAGGAGGTGCCGGGCCGGAGCTGCTCCCTTGTGTCGCTCTTTCTTTTGTATACGAAACGATCTCTCAGGTAACTCTGCCCTTATCACGTTGTACGAAATCGTAGAGCTCGTTCTGTGGCTTCCGCTGATGGGAAGAGCCGGATCCGTTCTGATAGGGCCGCTACTTGAAGCAGCCAAGGCGGGGGGGATCAAGACCTCAAATATTTTACCCTTAATTTATAGAATCTGAGCGTGTCTGCTCGGGACGTGTAATATCTTTACCAAATTCTAGACCCTAAGCATCTCAAATGTGCATGTTATCTCTTTGTAAGACTTAACGTGGATTGTTTAAACAAATCCATATGGATAGGGCTCGGCCCCACATTCTTTGTCCGGAGAAGCTGGCAGTGCTCACACACCTTCCTCCAGAGATGGGGCGGCGGGGGGGGGGCACGGCAAATGGCAGCTGCGTGATGGGGCACCGTGCTGCTGGGCGACAAGCAGAGCGGCTTCTAAAATTCGGATCAGTGAAATAAATAGATGAATAGATGCAGTATTGGCAAGAAATTAATAATATAGATACATTAAAAAAAAAAAAAAAAGCGAAAAGAAACAACACCAAAAGAATTCTTTCGTGCTAAAATCCCCTGAATTCCCCGAAACGAAACGGGGATTTCAGTTCTTCTCCCTGCATCCAACTGAAAACAGTCTGAAAATGCGGGGCGAGGTTTTGTCGGCTCGGGCCGAGCAGCTCAAATCCCGCAGCCCCTTCCTTTCCCATCCCATCCCATCCCATCCCATCCCATCCCATCCGGCCCCGTCCGGTGCCGCTACCGGGATCAAAGCTGTCCCGAGTTGCGAATGGCGAAACGCAAACCGAGATTTGCAGCAGGTTTCATTCCTCCTTCCACGCAAGCCGTTTAATAACAAAAAGTGCCAATAACAAACCTCCCCTCGACCCAATTAAAAAAAATGAGGGTTGATGGAGAATTGTGTGTACTCGTATTTAGCACTGAGGTGGGAGGGGGGGGAGGGAAAGCGGCGGATTGCAGGCATTGATGGGGCCGCATCCCCTCCCAGCACACGCTGAGATGCTCTGCGGATGGGAGCCCGTATCGTGGGGCTGCTCAGCCCCAAGGGCACAAACGAAAAGGGATCGAATCCCAATTTTTAAAGTTTCAAGCCCTCGGAAAAGGAAAGAAAATGTGACTTTCGTGACAAGTTCGCTCCGTGGGGAGGAAACGCAAAGCTCAGCGGAAGCGCTAATTCCGCGGCCGCGGTGTAAAATGGGCTCTGTGTCTAAACAAGGCAAATCTCGATACCCCCGGGGGGGGGGGGCCGCGGGGCAGTCATCGGTTTCGTTCTTTGCGGCGCTCCGCAGAACGCGGCCACTATAAATTATGGGGAATTTAGGGCTGAGAATTACTTTGGGGGATTATTACTCCCTCTCAGGGCTGATCTGTAGGAGACATTAGGAAAGCGCAGCGAGCTCAGCGCTGCAATAGGAATCGCGTTGTTGCCAAGAAAGCGTGATTTATAAAGTGGAAACATCTTTAAAATGCGCTCGCTATCTTTTTAATGTTCGGCTGCTTCATTGTGGGAGGGAGGGGAAAAAAAAAAAAAAAGGGAGAGAGATTATTTTATATTAAAAGGATCATCAAAAGATAAAAAGTTTATGTTAGCAAAGTTCCCTGAACTCTGCATCCAACCGCGCCTCCTTCGGCCGTAAAACCCCGCACCTCTCGGGCCGCAGCTCCGAGCTCCGTACCTCAGCGTTCCGCCCCCGTTTTCCCCCCGTTTTCGCCCTAATTACGAATTCGATCTCGGGAGAATTTTCTCGTGCGGCTTTTTGGAGGATGAACGCGCTGCTCCGTGGGCAACCGCGGGTTGAGGGGGGGCCGGGAATGGCCGTGTCGGATCCCCAATCCCAGCCCCGACGGGGCGGCCGCTGCCGCTGCCCCGCGCCGTGCCGTGCGGGACCCCGCGCCCTCAGCCTCCCTCAACCCCGACGGGGCGGCCGCTGCCCCGGCTGCTGCGAGCACTCACCGGCCGTTCCCTTTGTTTCTATAGGATACGAATATCCCCAAATCCTCCCGAAAAAGAGTTTTCCAAGCTGTTGTGTTCAGACAAACGAACGAAATCGAGCTGGAAGGGGCTAAAGGGGACACTCGGGGTTGCGGCGTGCAGCGGAGCAGCGGGGTCCTCGCAGCAGCACAGTGCTAGGTGCGGGGCTTTGCAGGGGCTCGGCAGTGAGGGGACTGCTCCGGGTGTTTTGGTAGGGCTGTTCAGGGCAGGGAGCACACGGGGTATTTCGCTCTAACTCCTCTTTCCCAATGTGACTTCATTTAACTGAACAATTGCTGCTGTTGGTGGTGGTGTTGTTTTTTAACCTCGCGGCAAAACCCGCTGTGTCTCCTAATTCTGTGCTCGATCTCGCCTTCCAAGCGTTGTTTTTGCAGGAAGTGAATGTTCCCTTATGCACTCGGGGCTCTGCTTTCTGCCAACCTTCATTTAGCTTTGGCCATTCGCTGGGGTTTCCAGGTGCCAATTTCTGTAGCTCTGCAGTTTCTATCCAAATATTGCCAGGGACAAAGAGTTTGATGCAGCCTATGACAAATCTCTCGTAAACAGCAGCTGACCAAGAAGAAAAATAGGTCGTTCTTCTATAGCAGCACCACCTGCTCAGGGGTGGAAGCAGGAGATCATAGAATCGTTTGAGTGGGAAGGAGCCCTAAAAGGTCACTCAATCCAACTCCCCTACAGCGAATGGGGATGGAGGTGCTGCCCTGAGCTCTGGGGGTGTTACAGGGACAGCCTCAGCCCTACGGTAGCAGGTTCTGAGGGGCACGTGTAGGAAAATACCGTGCAGGAAAAAGAAAAAGAAAGAAAGAAAAAAAAAAGGACTCAATAAAGTGGTTTGCATGTGTGGAAAAGACGCCCCCCCCCCCCCCCCTTCAGATGTTCAGGTTTCATTTTAAAAGTGGCTCGTTTTAGTTTTAAAAAGAAAAAAAAAGATCTGTTCCTAATCAACTTTAGTAAACCAAAATAAAAGTAGTTTTTAGGACATCAAGGTCTGAAGAAGTAGAACTGCTTTGGCTGAGCTGGTGCAGCTTTCCTCTGCGAATAATCCCTTAAAAGTTACATTTTCCATGGCTCCGTAGGGCATGTGGATGCCCAGTTCTCATTACAATAAAGGGAAACTTTTGTCCAGAACCTTCTGAGGCAGCTACAAGAATCTCTCCTGAAGGTTTTTGATCCAAAAGCAGACCTTAATATCCGAGCTGAGCGCTGGAATGTGCGCCATCAACTTAAAACTTGGAAATAAAGCGGATATTTTAGGAATGTTTGAGCTGCTCAGCACAACATTTGGGGTCCTGGAATTACCCTCTTAGGGCAAAGTCCTGCTTGGGGGGGGAATGGAGATCACTGCCGTGCTGTTGGCTGAGCTGCTAACGATGTCGACAGCTTTGGCAAAGGGACGGAGCTCTGGCACGCCGGGCAGGGCAGGGATGGGATTTTATTTTTCATCCTGCAATCCTCGCCGTTGGGATCATGAAGCCTTGGGATGCTCAGAGCTACGCCCGTTCCCAAAGCCTTCCCCGGGTTGGCTGCGGGGTTTGGCCATGGACGGAGCAGGGATGAAGGTCCCAGCACCACCTCGGCACCCACGCAGGGGAGGACATGTTCCTCAGCCACGGCCGCAGCCCTGCAGCTAACCAAGTCCTCAAGTACGTGAGAAACAATGTTTTATTTAAAAATTGGATGCCAGAAAGAGAGAGAGAGGGAGAAAAAAAAAGAATAAAATAAAGCCTCGCCATCCCAAAATATAAAAATCCCTTAACTGTCTGACCTCCTCATCACTAGGTCATGGTCCTGCCACCAGATAAATCTCTCCTATCTGCCCATAGACTGAGAGTTCAATGTTGCTTGTGTTAGTGACAGTGAATTTGGGGCTGAAAAATGAACTACTGATGAGAACTCCTGTTGAACCTGTATTGTTTGTTATTCTGAGGCAAGGATCTGGCATGGGCTAATCCAGCACTTCAAAGTTAACTGCTCTTACTTTGTATACAGAGCGTCATAGCGGAGTGGCGTGGGTGATAAGAGAAATAAGGGACTGAGGTTAGGAGACACTGGGAAAATGGGACCCTGTTGGAAAACTCTTTGATCTCTTGAAAGTATTTTCTGAAAGCAAGAATCTATCAAAAAGGAAATGCCATTTAAAAGCCTAAAAGAAACAGCTGACATCCCCAAATTTGTTTTCATCTGCCCCGGAGAATATTATTTTTAAAGATGCGTGAAGTCAATGGAAGAAATATTTGTCAGAAGAAGGGAAATTAGGAAAAAGAGGAAAGTTCATCAGAATCAGAACGTGGTTCTTGGGGCCTCCACGCACCACTCCTTTCTCTCCTAACCATGAAGACGAGCAGTAACATCCATAGGAGGCAATTCTGATGGGGAATTTTAGGCCAACTTCACGGGGTTTTATGCGTGCAGTCTGCATTGGTGCTTTGGGAGCATGGCTGGAGGCATCTCTGCCCATTTCTGAGGCAGCCTTCAGCACATTGGCCGAGATGTTGAGTGATTTTTTTTGTTTTTCGGGTTGTTTTTCATGCCCCAATGCGCCCTGGGGGTCCCTTCCCAGATAGGGCTGTGCTGAAATGTCTGGGCACCCAATCCCTGCACTTTTCTTGCCCACCCCAAAACAAAGGACTGCAAAATCACCTCCTGTCCTTGAAAACCTTCATCCTGCTGGAAGTGCTGTTGGAAACAAGTCTTCACCTTCTGAACAGCTGAAGGACTTTGGCAGATTTATACCCCAAAGAGAAGGGAGCCTTGGCAGCATCAGTGCCAGCACAGGACACAGGGAGAGCTCCAGTGCCTGTGTTCCCATGTGCTTCAGAGGGCACTGACTCAGCCCTTGATCTGGGCTTCGCAGGGCTGCCATCCCCTGTTCCCTGTCCCCTCATCCCAGTGCTTTACACCGACCTGAAGTGAGACATGGGTCAGATGCCCGTGAGCCTGAAGGGAATTGCTGCCCCAAATAATGAAAGCAAATCTTTCCTCTTATTGCTCTGATCCAAATCCAACCAACCAATTACACATTAATTAAATTTTGTTTGAACATAATAGGAGCCTTGGCTCCGTGTCAGTAACTGTTGCATGGCTGAGGGGATTGGGTAGCAATAGAATAAATAAATAAACAAGAGATGCTTATTCTAACAGTTCATTTTAAAACAATTTGTGAATATCACATAGAGATAAAATGTGCCTAGCATAAACTTAGCTAAGCAGTGACTGCTTCATTATCAGAACAAATAATTCACCAGCACATCATCTTTGAAGCTTGGGAGGGCTCTGGAATCATGCTGCTTGTTTATTTTCCTGGCTTTTGCTGTTTTTGGTACATTTCATCTGCACCAGAGCTGTGCCAGAGCCCTGCCTGTGGGACACAGCAATGTCCCCATCCGTCCTGACGTCCAACAGGGGGGTTCAGGAGCCCCTCGAGGTGTGTTCTGCGTGGTTCCTTCTGCACTGGGAGGGGTAGGGGATGGGGAGAAGAGGCATTTAGACATGTCCAAAATTGGGGTCTTCCAACCCAGCTCTTGCTGGGTGCTTGTGCAAGGTCACGCCTGTGTTGGTCCTTCCAAAACAAGGGCATAAAGGGGAAAAAACTCAGCGTTTTGGGAAAGTGGTGGCATTCGCATATGCTGGGGGCTTTCTGCATGCTGGGCCATTACCTCCCAGGGCTTTGGATCCAAGCCGAAGGTGGACGGGCAATGGCTGAAGCTCTGCTTGATGTTGGATTCGCCCTTTGCTGCATCCCCAGCGCAGAACCCCACCGAGCTCCCCAGAAACCCCAAATTTACCATTTTCATAACCAATCTTGGCAGGATAGAGTGCAGCAAAGCACGCAGTGGAGCTCTTGGCCACTCTCAATGATCAAGTGAGCTATTGTCGGGGAAAGTTGGCCAACATGCCCCATCCTCTGCGAGAACGCCCATCCACAGGGGAGTTCCTGCCCGGAGCCACGAATTGGGCAGGCAGATGCTGGCTGTGTCCCAGCGCGCGCCGGGAGCCGCACGGAGCCACACGGTTCGGTGCTCCACGTCTTTTTATTCCTAAGCAAAGCTCTGTGACGGCTTTGAGTTGGACGCGGCGCTGCGCTTTGCCATGCCTCCCCACCAGCAACGCACAGCCCGTGTTTGTATCCCATTGCAAGGATGTATTTACTAAACCAGCCCCTGCCAAGGGGTTGAGAAATATGTTTTCATTAAGAAAATTAAACTGACAAGTCCCTGGACGGCGCGTTAGTTGCATATATATATATTTTTTAAAGGCCAAAACGCAGCAGCTAATAATAATGATGAAATGGTCACGAGCAGCCAAATTACTAAAACCTACCCCGTGTTTTCCTGGAAAAGAATGTGGGGAGTTGGCAAACGTGGCGGCGGCTGCTGACGGCTGAGCCCAACGCTACCAGCGCGAGATAGCGAGCGGCGCGCAAGTTAAGCAACACCTCCCATCAGATGCGGGTCCCCATTTGTTATCCTGAAAGAATTCCGGCTGTATATATTATAGTAGTACTTTGGCTCTTTGTATTTATTTTAGAGGGCTATACGAAAGAACATTATAAACTCAGGCATGTCCACGCTGTATGAACTCCATATGCTGAAGCTTAATTTTAAACGCCATTAAAAAAGCACTTAACATTTACAATATATCAGTCCGGCTACTTTAGCAGCTTGGATGTACGTCGGTAAATGAAATGATTGGGGAAAAGAAAGAAAATCAGAAGCTCAGTGTTGGAAAATCCGGGTACGACGCAGCCACCGTCGCATCGCATCGTTCCCTTTGCTGGTTTTTAATCCGTTCCTCCTCTTTTTGGTTTCATTTTTAAATGTAATTTTAAGGCTTTAACGCTTGGCATTCGGATCGGATTCCTCACACGATTTTTTTCGATGTGTGAATCGGGCTGTGTATTCACAAATTGAAATGTCCTACTGTATTTATACAGGTGCTTACCTGTATGAGGGCAAGGTTAAGAGGAGAGCAGAGTTTATGAATGAAAATCAAATACGGACATTGGTAAACCACCCCTTTTTAGTCCCGGCTAATTACATGGTAAACATCTGGAATTTATGCAGGGCATGTAAAAGAGTCGATTGAGATGATTTCAAACAGGGCCCATTTTGTTGCCTTCTCCTCACGCTGCTACAAAATGGTGCTGCTGGACCAAGGGAGTGGCAGGAGGGCCTCCAGTGAGCAGTGACATTAGGGCTTAATTGGAACAATCAATGATCCAAGCACGGAAACATTTTCATCTCCCCTCCCCTTGTGCTGATGGCAAGGAGACGTCACAGCCCGTTTGGCAGCTGCCTTGGCCAACTGATGGAAGAGCACAGTGAGCTGGTTCACTCCGTTGACTTGGTTGGTGTGTTTTGCTTTTTGACTGGGTGAGGAGGAGACTGCAGTGATGGAGCCAAGGGAACAGCGGCTCAGGGGATGTGAAGTGCTGTATGGGAACTGCAGAGTCATGGCCTGAACCATGATTGATCACCTGGGGAAAGGATCCGTCAGCCCTGGGAGCACAGGTGAAGGCAATTCAGCTGAGACTGAAAGGGTGGAGCCTGGCTGCACCTCTCTCAGACCCCATTTAAGGCTGATTGCCTCTAGGGAAGGATCTCTGGTTGGAGATCCCTCACTGTGGGGTCTTTTCTGCAAGCTGAGCTCTTCAGGGATGAGTGAGCACATTTGCTTTCCTGTAAAATTCCCTCCTACCTGCACTGCTCCCTTTGTAGTTATGTTTTTATATTGCCCTTCTGCTGTGCTAATCTTTCTGATTGTAGCAAGCACCTAGCTGTGCAAACGCCAGTGCTGGTGATTTCTGAAGGGCCAGAAATATTGGGTCACATATATATTGATCATGTATACTGATAAGATGCAGTATTAAATAGTATGGTTTGGTAAAGGTTTCTTAGATAAGTGAGATATATGCCCCTATCTTTAATAACAAGTGATTGTAGTGAAGCTCTCTGTTCCCATTCACAGCTCACACTTGGAGAAGGGCAATGCTCACTGTGGCAATGTGTAGGCAGCAGTTTGCTTTACAGCTCCTTTGTCCCAGCTTGGGTTCATCATATGCTGGTGATGGAGCTGCCCTCTGTGGCACTGCTCTGTGTTTCCATCTACTTTAGGCTGTTCCTTCATGTGCTAACCCTTTGCTTTTCCTAAGGAGGATGTTTCCCAGCTACAAGGTCAAAGTGACTGGAATGAATCCCAAGACCAAGTACATTCTGTTGATTGACATCGTCCCGGCCGATGACCACCGGTACAAATTCTGCGACAATAAATGGTAAGAGGACGTTCTCCTGTTTGCTTTCCTTTTATTATGAATTGTAGGTGGATGGATGGTTCCACTGCCCATGGGTGATGCTGGTGTCCTAGAGCTCTGGCACAGAGCAGTCATAGACCCAATGATCACCAGTGACTGAAAGTTAAAGCCAGAAAAATTTGAGTATTCTGGACAAGCCAATGGATTGCCTGCTGGTAGATGTGGATCATCCATCTCCAAAGGACAGGAGGTCGTATCAGAGGAGGTGCCACAGGTTGCTTGGCCTCGTGCAGGCGTGTGAGAGTGAGCCTGCAGCCTGTGCGTGCCAGGGGCTGTAAGCGGTGACCCACTGGTGCATTTTGGCCTTAAAATCATGAATCCATGGGAAATGAGAGAAGTTGTACACTTTTTCTTCTCTCCAGCAGCAATATTTTGCACTTGGGGATGAGCTATGTAACGTGGGGGAACAGCTCTCCCACCCACTGCCTCTTTCCTTCTCATTCAGTATTCTTCCACCAGAGTTTCTCCCTCTTCTGTAATTCCCTCCCTTTGCTGTGTCTTTGATAGTAAAGTTGCTTACCCCAGAGGCAGATGGAGTTTTGCTTTCTGACAAAGGGAGCGTGTTTTTTTCCCCTTTTGTTCCTCCCCAGAACAATGCCCAGCAGCCTCCCTCGCTGAGAATGGGCCGTGCTCATCTTTTCACCATGCAGCAGTAAGCAGAAAGTCAGGACAAGCCATGGAAAACTTCATACTCATTTCAATGGGAACAGCAACATCCTGTAAAACTGCAGTAATTCACTTGCACATTAGGGCTGCTCTAGATTTCAAAAATTTCTTTTCTACTCCCTTTTGTCCTGCAGTGCCTTTGGGTAAGAGGAGTAGATGGAGCACGCAGCCCACTTTGTGCTTTAACCATTAAGCCCTGGATGATGGATAGTTGTTAACTTTGTTTAATTTAGCTTTTGCCAGCCCTAGAGCTATTTCCCCTTTTCATTTTATTGCTGCTGGAAAGTCTCTGTTGTTTTTGGTCATAATGCCTTTATTGGTGTTTTATGAGAAGAGAACAATACACAGTAATGGGGGAGCTGCCACGAAGCCATGCATCGCAGTGAGGTTTCACATCCATGAATGCTGGTGGAGGGTTGGATATGTGGGAAAGGGGGGATGTGGGCGCAAAGGGGCAGCGCCCAGCCCCATCCCATGGGAACTGACACTGAGAAGTGTTTTCTGCTGGATGGTCTTGGAAGGCTTCATCCGTGGCCAGCCTTCTCCAAAGACCCAAGCAAGGTGTCCTCCTTGGCTAATGTCAACACAGTGACCCAAGGAGACGGTGGTTCAGCTCTGCCAGCTGTGACATTGGGACAAAGAGATCCCATGGGCAGCGGGAGCCTCTTGGAGACTCAGCACATGGCTGCACTGTGGTTTGCAAGGGGAGGTCAATGGCAATACTTTCTGTGGGACAGACAGACAGTGCTGCAATGTGATCACTGTGCTTGCAGGATGGTGGCTGGGAAGGCAGAGCCGGCCATGCCGGGCCGGCTGTATGTGCATCCTGACTCACCTGCCACTGGAGCGCACTGGATGAGGCAGCTCGTGTCCTTCCAGAAGCTGAAGCTCACCAACAACCACCTGGATCCCTTCGGGCATGTAAGAGCAAAGTTCTTCGAGGGCAATCCTTTGGGTTGGGCCCATAATGAGCGTGCTGGGTGGGATGCAGGGATGCTGAACAGGCTGTTGTATGGTTGTAGGGGTGCTGTGGGGTTTTCAGCCCAGCCATTGTTCCTGCAGCTTGCAGAAACAAGTTGCATGAAAGTGTTTTTCTCCAGGTTGGCTTTAGTGGCCCTGTAAAAGACAGTATTTCATTTGGAACATATTCATGTTTATGGTGAATGCAGAAGTGGGAGATGAACATTTATTGAGCTCAGTGTGTTAAACAACATACCCGATGTTTTCCACTGTCCTAGCTGAAAGTCACATAGAAACAAACCAACCTCAGTGACTGGAGAAAGGGAAACAGGGCCCAGGATTTTCTCCGTGCACACAGTTTTCTGTGAATTTCCCACTCCCAAAGCCATCTACACGTGTCCTGGTGCTGCTGCAGAGTGGCTGTGCCAGCCCTGCCCTGTCTGCTGACCCCAAAGGCTCCATGCTGATGTTATCAATCACAGCCACCCCCATCTTCCACTCATCTTTAAGGGTGAAAGCACCATGGCATGAAATGGGACCAGCCCTATGGAGTTGTGCAGGAGGAAGCAGAGCTGAGAGTTTTGTGCAGCCACCCTGTGCTGCTCACTGTGCAGTTTCCCTCCTGTGCTCCCGTTGCATTTTTCCCCTTGCTTAGCAGTGCAGCTTAATATATATTGCTATTTATGCTGTAAAATGCAAGCCATAAAACAGGATGTTTGGTGTGCCTGTGAAACAAACAGGATGTGTGGTGTTGCTTTTGCAACGCGAAATGGTTGCTTCTCCCAACTGTGTCATTACTTAACTGCAATTTTAACACCGCGTTTGAGTGGGAAAGAGCCTTTTCTCCTCCTTCTGGCAGCACTGTCTTCCTACAGAGCCTCACCATGACATCACCATGATGGAGCTCACTTTGCATGGGGTTCAGACACTTCTCTGGCAGCTCCTCTCGAGGCTGCTCAATGAGCGATTTGCTTTTGAACAACCTGGGCTCAGCACCTGTTCAGTGTGAAGGTTTCAGGGCTGGAAACACAGCGATCTGTGCTGCTGCTGCCCCCATCCCACTCCTGCACAGGGCCCTGCATTATGCTAAATCACAGCTTCTCCTTTCTAGGAATCCATCCCAGCCATCGCAACCCTTCTCTCGAAGCTGCCTAAAGCAAACAAGTGTGGAAAGCCGCATGGTTTGTTTGCTTCTCGCGCTCCAGCTCTGCTGGCTGCCTGTTTCCTTTTGTCACTGATTTCCTCCAACCCTCAAAACCCGCAGCTCCAGGCTGGGCTGGGGCAGCACTGCAGGGCATGGGCAGCAGCCCTTGTTCTATGAGCCGTGCCCTGCGTGGGTGCTGTGCATAATGGCACAGATCTGTGCAGTTTGTCAGGAAGGAATAGAATAGAAATTGTATTTTCGAGAAGAAATGAAGCACAGAGCGCTGTGATCTGCCTGCAAACTCCCACGGGTGAGCTGTAGGAGCAGAGGGAACGTGTGTCCTCATGCAGTGTCTGTGGGGTGGGGGATTTTCCAACCGTGAAGTGTTCCTTTCACATCAGGCTGAGGAATAGAATTGAGAATGGATTTAAGAAATCAACAGTCTGTGGGATGCTTGGCTTTGGAGGTCAGTCTGATGCTAAAGAGAGCACTGAGACACCAATGATCTGAGCAAAATCCTCATGCTCATGATTTGCAGAGCAATGTGTGCATGCTTAGAGCCTTGGGTGACTTTCTGGTGGGCACGGGGACGTGGAGGTATGGTGGCATCTCCTGCTTGCAGTGCTCCTGGGCACAGCATGAGCATTCCTCCTCCCTGGGGAAGCAGGCTGTGCCCTGCCACGTGCTATTGGAGCCCTCAGCTGTTTGAGCCATCCTTACATCACAGAAACAACTGCTTGCTGGAAGGGATGCAGGATGCTGGTGTCTGTCAGGGGTTAGCTCAGGGAAAAACTGAGCGAGTCGCAACAAATATTTCCTCAGTGATAAACACTGATGAATGGAATTCCACTTTCTCCAGAGGTTTCAAGTATGTAAACAACGAAGTGGAGGGTGCCTGTGAGATGGCCCTTATGGCCGGGGGTGCTCGTTGCAGGGACCTGAATTCCTTTGCTGTTGTCTTCCTGGTTGGGTTTTCCTTCACCTCTTGCTATGAGGTGCTGCAGGAGCTGCTCACAGTGGCAGCTCCCTGACAGAGAAATGACTACTTCTGGTTTTGCACACAGTGCTGAGCGGTGCAGCATTGGTGTGAACACAGAGCATTGAGGTTTGGTCTTTGGTGTTGGTGGGAGCCCCTCTGAGATGCAGCCCCTGCCCTGGCCTTTGCCCATCCCCTGGGCCAGCTGGGTTAGGGTGACTGCACTGCATGGCTATTTCTGGCAGGCTCATATTGGTTGGAAATTACGCTCTTTACAGAATGTATAAAAATATTCCTATGGAAAAACAGACAAGGAAACAGAGATTAGAAGTGGAGATCGGCACAGGTGGCAGCTGAGGTTGAGTTTCACCCCCCAGCACATTGCTGCTGCAACTGCCCTGCTCCCTGGGACCTCTGAGTCACTGCAGGGCTCTGTTCCTGCTGCCCATCACAGTGTTGGTTTGGTTTTGGAGATGTAATCTCCCAAGGCTTAAGGCTGCGGAGTGCTAGGGGTGATCTATCACTTCTGCTGACATTTCGAGTGATATTCTTGATTTTTCTTGGCCCCAAACATCTGTTTTCTGGCTTTGCTCTTCAATTTTGATGAGTTTTTGTTACTTCCCTCTCTCTCTCTCTCTCTCTCTCTCTCTCTCTCTCTCTCTCTCTCTCTCTCTCTCTCTTTTTTATTTTTGTATCCTTGGTTTTATTTGATTATCACTCGGTGTTTCCTTCTCATTTTTTTCTTTCAATTTCATCATCTTTCCCTTTGCTTGCCAGGAACACCCAGGCCATTTAGGTTCATGTCCTCTTAATCTTACAAAACCCCAAATTCAACTTAGGATTTGTCACTTTCTTGCTCCATGCTTGGTGACCAGGCCAGGTGTGTGCCTTGGGCCACCACCCACTGGCACAGTTGTGGTGACACTGGTGGCAACCAGTGCCTCCTTTCTCTATTCATTTAAAGCATTCAAAATGCAACCCTTTTGTGTAAGTTTGAAGTCAGTTTTCTGGGGACTGGCATGAAGAAGAGCTCAGTTAGGATACGCAAGAGATGGTATTGCCTTCCTTATAACCCATCGATTTTAGGTGGCATCCTCCAGTTGTGTTACGGTTGAACGGTGACATCCAGCAGAGATCTTTGTGCTGGTGGCTTTGTTCTGTTCCTAAACCAAGGAGCAGTGCTGTGCTGAGGTCATGGTGCACGTCTCCATGGTACAGTATTTGTTCCCCTCCCCAGCATCTCTGCGTCAAGAACTCAGGAAACACCACTGCCCATCTCAGTTGATGTTAGGCAACAAAGGACCAGGAAAGAAAGAAAGCAAAAAATATTGCAGCGTTGGCCCTTGTGTGGGGAACAATTTGTCTGAGCTCACATTGAATTTTTCCCAGGATTTTCCAGCATTCCCCTCTGCTCCCTGTTGTGCAGACTGCCAGGAGGTGCTTGGCATGGGGCGGCTCCTCCAGCACAGCCCTGGGTTCTGCTCCTACAGCAGCGTCCTGGGGCCAGATGGGAACATGGAGGGTTGGGGCAGGTGGTGATGGAGCTGTGGAGGTTGCACATAGCATTCGGTTGGGGCTGTTTGTGTTGTCATGGGTAGGGATGCGACCTGCCGGCGTGGGGCTGGGCGCTTCAGTCTAAAAAGAATAGAGTGAAGGAAGAAAGAAGCAGAAAAATGTACAAAAATGAGAGATTTTCTATTAGTTATGATGTGATCCCATGGGAGCAGCCATAAAATTATGTGGCTTTTTCGTAGACGTTTACTATTCAATATAAAAAAGGCAGTTGCCGTGGCAACCACTGCATCATATGATATTTGATACCTTGGAGAAACAGGGAGTGCTCTTAAATCAACTCCCCAAATTTCATATGGAAGTAAATACGTTTTACTGCTGATTTTTTGGGGATTGTGATGGGGCCGTGCCCAGCTCTGACCCTTCAGGCCATGTCCTGCAAAGTGGCAAACCCGGACCCAGGTTGAGATGCTGAGATGTTCGCAGTGTTTTTCCAAGTTGGCATTAAATGGAAGGAGCAAATGACACCATTTTTTGACATTTGCTCTTGAGTGGGGAGTGCCAAAAAAAGGGGAAAAAATGTTTAAAAAAAAAAAAAAAAAGGAGAGAAGAACTATATTACACTTGAAGTTCCAGTTGCCAACAGTGTGATCACCACAAAGGAGGCAGATGGGGGGGGTGGAAAATCCCATATCTGTGGGCCTGGACTTGGGGCCATCTGTGGCCATCAGTGGGGCACAAAGCAATGTCCATCTCAAATCTGAGTTCTGTGCTGCCGAGCTCTGTCCCATCAATTAAAATGCCTCTCATTTTTCAACACAATTCTTTAAGTTAATCTTTCCACTGATGTTCGTCACTGCAGTGGAATTTACATTTGTTTTGTGTATTTTTAGCCAACGACCGGTTTTCCACAGCAGCCTTTAAAAGTATTTATCCCAAATTATTGGCGTTCCAATCGCGCAGGCGCTGAGGTTTACAGCTGAGGCTGAGGAGGATTTTTTGAACGACTTTTCAGGGGCTTTGAGTGCACAGTGCTTAAACCAAGGGCAAGCAAGCAGGGGGTGTGTGTGTGTGTGTGCACTTCTTGCTTTCCAGAAAGTTGTTGGTGGGAATACAGGCAGTGGGCAGGTCAATTCAATGCTTGCTTCCTGCACCTGGGACAAAGTGCGGCGTATTTCACCCTGGGGCAAGGGGCAAAAGCACATTGCAGTTGATTAGATTAAGCTGTTTCGGTGTTTTCCCCCCATAGATATCAAGCAGCTCAAAGTGAACCCCTGGGAGGATTTGTAGCCATGGATGTAACCATGTGCATCTGTCAACAATCCTTCCAAAGGCTTCATCCAGTTTGTGTTGGTGCTGGAAAAGGCTCAAGCCAAGAAAAGGGTTTTTAAAGGAATCTTTATGCCCTCGAGGGTACTGTTATGAAAAGGAGGTAGGAAACAGGCTGCTCATCCACCCGCTGGAAATTTGAGGTTAAATGCCATTCACTTGTTCTGATTTGGAGCCACACGTTGCCTTGCCAGACCCGGGCAGCTGGGGACAGGAGGTGAGCAAAGCTCAGCACCCTTCAGCTTCTGCTCCAGACAACCCATATTTATCAACCCTTAATTATTGAAAATTGACGTGCCCTTTCTTATGAGCCTCAGCCTTCTGGCGTTGCTCATCTCGGCTGTTTTACGAGAGGCCGCCACATGAAAGCGCAGCAAAAGCTGCAACCCAAAACCTGAGCCGACCCTCTCAGCTCTACAGCCTGCGTATCAGCAGCCACAAAGTGCTTCGGAGACGTGATGCAAAGCTGATAAAATGCCAAAAATTCCTCATTCTCTCTCTTGGGGAGCAAGGAGGGCTGTCTGGAAAATGTCAACAATAAAAATTGTGTTTAAGTGGTATATATAATGCAGCCGGCTACTGTGGGCAGATCCGTGTGGCCGGATGGAGGGGCGTGGGGAGCACGAGCCCTGAGCAGTGCCTCCTGTCCAGCTGCAGTGCAGCACTGTGGCACTGTTCATGTCCAGCTGATTTTGAGGCAAACTTCTCTTTCTTATTATTTTTCATTTAAAATGGGCTAAATCCACACTTTGTGTGAACTAATGCAAACTGTGGTTTTGTCTGTCCGTGCATCCTTCTGTCCTTTCTGTGCATCAGTCCATCTGATTTTCCATCCGTCTGTCCATCCATCCATTTGTCCATTTACCCACCCATCCATTTGTCTGCCCATCCATCCATCCATTCATCCTTCTATTCATCCATCCATCCACATGTCCAATCCACCTGCCTGCACGCCCATCTCACCACCACCTCCTGCAGACTCAACCTGTGCAGCATTCCCTGTTGATTCCATTTCTCCATAGGGCTGAATGTGTCCTGTGGCTGCTCAGGGTGTTGGCCATGCTGGGGACAATCCAGTCCCAGGAACAGCTGGAAGATGGTTTGGGAGTGGGAAGAGGCTGAAGAGTGCTGTGTTGAGGAAACCAGAAGCAAATAATTTTTTCTTTGTCCAGAGAGAGGAATAGAGGCTTTTCTTAAAACCCATCCCACTCCTTAGAAGAAAATCCATTTCTTTAAACTACTTTGTCACATGTGGGCACAGCCATTCTTGTGGCAGAACAATGAGGCACCAGCCCCTGCGTGCCTTGGCAGAGCCCAGCACTGTGCCCTGCGTGCACTGTGGGGGCTGAATGCCCACTGCGTCCCACAGCCCCTCCTCACCATTCTCCAGCCACGTCTCACCTGCAGGGTTACCTGTGGGATCTGCTGCACGATCTGCAGAAAACCTTCTGGTTGAAGCTTTCTCTTAGCGGCCGATGAAAGAAAAACACAGACTTCTTTTTTTTCTTTTTTCCCCCTCTGTGGTTTCTGTGATATATATATATTTTTTTGCTTTTGCTGTTTTTCAGCTCCGTAAAGTATTTTATGGGGAAGCTTTATGGACCAGTCTGCTGGCGAATTATATGTATTTTGCAGCTTCAATGTGAGCTGAGAAAAAAATTTACGGCTTTGTTTCCACCCAGGCTGACTCTGTCCAATAGCAATAAGAAAAGGAGCGTTCAGCAGAAAAGCTCCAAGTTCAGCACAGCATCACTTGCCAGAGCAGCAGAGACCCACTCTGCTATGGGTTATACATGCTAAACAATGTTGTTTTCCCCTACAGTCTGAAAGCAAAGCTGAAGCATAGCGCTAGTGGGACCAAGCTGTCAAGTGGCCAAGACTTGCCATTTTTTACAAAATCGGATTGTTCACTTTAGCACCAATTGTTTTCCAGATTATCCTCAATTCAATGCACAAATACCAGCCACGGCTGCACATTGTGAAGGCAGATGAGAACAACGCTTTTGGCTCGAAGAACACGGCATTCTGCACCCACGTGTTTCCAGAGACGTCCTTTATCTCGGTGACCTCCTACCAGAACCACAAGGTACGGCACTTTGGGGTCCAAAGGGGCTCATTCTGGGCTGTGTGCTCCTATAGCTTTGCTTGGGGAGGGAACAGAACTGCTCAAAAAGCTGAGTTTCCATTGCAGCCCATTAACCTCGAAGCATGGCTGATGGGCCAGAGGATGTAGCTAAGGGGAAGAACGACAAGCGCTGGGCACCAACAGCCTGGCAAGGCCTGATTGTCCAGGAACTAATGAATTGGATAATAATAAACTCTAAGATGTCATTCAAAACAGTGAGCAAATCCAATAACGGCTGGGAAAAGCTTGCTCATAAATCTACAGCAAAAAGTAATTATAGCATGTGTGTTTAGCAAGGCACACAAGGAATGCAACCATAAAACCGAGCTAGGAGCCTGCGCTGTGGTTAGGAGGTGAAGGTAGGAGGGGGGCTCCAGGTGTTTGTGTTTTGTTGGGGGGGGGAACACAAAACACAAGGGCCTGGGGCTGTGCATTGGGTGTGTGGCACAGCGATGCACTGACTGCAGGGTTGGGTTTCTCCACATCTTTTCCATGCATTGGATCAGGGCAGCACTGGGTTGCGGTCCTATTTGAGGTGATCCCTGGGTGCCTCTTCCTCCTGAACAGATGGCTGTGTTTCCTTTGAGGCACACAGTCCTTGCAAGATTTTGCAATTAGCAAGCAGTTAAAAGGCTCAGAGTGGCAGCCTGGATGAGTGTGGTATGGTAAGACAGGGGAAAAAAAGGAACGTATTTAGGCACCAAAGTGAATCCTGTTTGAAAAGTTGTAGACATTGGTGTAAAATGACCAATTGCCCAAACGTGGTTAACCAAAAAGGCTCAAAAGCGCTTATTTAATACCTCCTTAAAATATCGAGGTCAATGGTGCCTTTCATCCCTGAGGTCCCCAAAGTGCTCCATAAACTTAATACTCCCACTGTCACTGCTGTGCATGGGCAGGGGCTGGTGGCTGAGCGCAGTGCAGGTGGTGGCAACATCTTCTTTTGAAGGAACCCACCGGGCACCAGAGGACTCAGCCCCTCCGCCCATCATCCCATCTGTTTTCACATGATTTCTGCTTGCTTTCCTTCTCTTAAAGATAACTCAGTTGAAAATTGAGAACAACCCCTTTGCGAAGGGATTCAGGGGAAGCGACGACAGCGACCTGCGCGTGGCACGGCTCCAAAGGTATGGTTGGAGGCTGGATGGGAGGGCTCTGGGTCAGCAGGCTGAATTTGGCTGCTGCACATAGCCATGTGGTGTCTGGCATGCACTGCTCAGCCCCTTTGCCCTTGTCTCACTGTCAATGTGCTGCACCTCTTTGAAGAAAACTGTTGAATACTGTGGGGCATCCAATTTTCTTGTATTTGAGGGCATTTCATGCCCTCCCTGCCTCCGACAAGCTCTTCCTGTAGCCGAGTGATGCATTTCGTGTGCTGTTGCAATGCTTGCCCACGCCCGGAGCATGGTGAGGGTTAGCTCATCGTGCTTGGCAAAGGCGTGGAGCCGTTGGATGGGGATGTGCTGGGGCAGCCAAACTCATATTTCATCCTCCTGGTCATGCTGATGCTGTCTAACCAGTAATATTTTTCTCGCCTTCTTCAGCAAAGAATACCCAGTGATTTCCAAAAGCATCATGAGGCAGAGGTTGGTGTCCAGCCATGGCCAGCTCTCCACCAAGCCAGATGTTAACCCGCTCCATGGCAGTCACCAGACCCTCCAACACTACCAGTACGAGAACGGTGCTCACATGCAGTTCGCAGCCTCAGATACTCAAGATCTGTCACTCAACACCTTCACAGCACAGAGAGATTCAGGGCTCTTCTATCACTGCCTGAAGAGAAGAGGTAACTCGAGTTTACACTGAAAAATACTGCAGCAAATAGGCCTAAGAGCACTGAAAGTTTACCCATAATCCCAGTTTGTTTTGGATGTGTCTCTTAGACCTTAATCTTCAAAGTGATCAAAGTGTTTTGGAGGGTCAGGGTTCACAAGCTGGATCTTTGGGCAGTTGTTAGTGGTTTTGTCCCATAGAGGGCAAATTGAGGCTCTGTGCTAAAAAAAAAAGCAAAACAAAACCAACAATCAGTACACATAATTTAAATGGAATGAAGCCACACTGAAAAATTATCACTTGATAAGTCATCCGAGTTAATACTTGCAGTGAGGAGGCCTTATCTATCCTGAAATGTCCTGATGTGGCCATTAGCATTAAGGAAATTGCCCTGAATGAGCACTTTGCAGGAGGAGCCATTGTAGTTATCCCAGTGCAAGCAGTGGGGCGGTGGAGGCCACGCATCCTTCTCCTTATCAGCTGGTCCTAACTTGAAGCGAGCTGTAGCTGCGTTGTCTTCCTTTTAGTCCAGATCAGATGAGATCATGGCATGTTTCAAGTTAGAAGGAAAATTATTCACGCAGCCAAATCCTTCTATTTGCATGTCTCATTGGCTGCTAATTTATTTAAGCTGTGAGAATCCTCTGATCATGGGCAAATGAGGAATTCAATACCACCAGAAATAAGGACTGTGAAGCAAATGTGTTCTTCTAGCAGATGTTTAATTTGCAGATGAGTTCATAAATGCAGCATTCTGCTAACGAGCTCCCGCATGTGAGGCTGAAAAGAAGAATGGGCAGCTGGGAAAGGTCTCCTTTATCTTGAGATATTTCTGCAGCTTTTGACATGAATATCTGGGAAATGTACAGTGATTTTGGTACTGACAGGAAGGAGGGCTGTGATAAGACCCTTTCAGAGACTTCTTGAGTTTGTCAGGAGTAGTGCTGCAGGAGTGCCACGGACCTCTGTTATCTGGATGAAGGTGAAGTAATCCCTGATGTGAGAATAGTCACTTACTTACCCTGATAAATGTCATCAGCGTGCTTGGGAGGATGATGGAATTACTCCAATATTTTGCAACACGACACCTTGTTGGTATTGCACGTTGTCTGAAATGGTCTGAAAAAGAGCACTGGTGGTGTAGCGGAACAATCCTGCGTTCTGAAGTCCCATCCCTGAGCTCTTTTTCTTTTCCCGCAGAAAGCGCGCGGCACCTGGACCTGCCCTGCAAGCGTTCCTACCTGGAGGCCTCCTCGTCAGTGGGTGATGATCACTACTTCCGCTCCCCACCACCCTACGAGCAGCAGATGCTGAGCCCGTCCTACTGCAGCGAGGTGGCCCCACGGGAAGCCTGCATGTACTCTGGGTCAGGGGCTGAGATCGCAGGCGTGCCGGCGGTGGATGACTTGCCGCCTCCGCCTCCCCCGCTGAGCTGCAATATGTGGACTTCAGTCGCACCTTACACCAGCTACAGTGTTCAGACAATGGAAACTGTGCCCTACCAGCCCTTTCCAGCCCATTTCACAGCCACCACCATGATGCCGCGGCTCCCGTCCATCGCGGGGCAGGGCTCACAGCCCCCGGGGAACAGCCACTTCAGTGTCTACAACCAGCTGGCCCAGTCTCAGGTTCGGGAGCGCGTCCCCCCATCGTCTTTCCCAAGGGAAAGAGTGCACCCGTCCGTGTGTGAGAGGAAGCCGCCTTCCCCACACCTCAACGCTGCCAATGAGTTCCTCTACTCCCAAAGCTTCTCCTTGTCGCGGGAGTCCTCGCTGCAGTACCATTCAGGAATGGGGACGGTGGAGAACTGGACGGACGGGTGACTCCGCGGGCCCAGCGGTGCCGCAGCTTGCGTTACTGCTCCGGGACGGTGCTAAGGCAGCGTTATACCTGTGGGTAACTTGCACTTGGGTGAGACGAGCATGCATTTCCCAGGGGCGCGTGCGTGCAGGGAGAGCCCATCTCGGGCACACTGAGAATTCCGACTCCTGGATCCATCAGCCTCTGACTCACTTCCGAATGAATTAATTCATTACCGATCTGATAGAAACCATCTTCTGGACTAACGAGTGAAGTCGTCTGTCATTCACTTTTGCCTGTAACAGTAAACGTCCATGAGCAAATTTTGGCTTTTTGGGAAAAACACGAGCTTCGTTTGTATGGTACTCGGTTGGCAACGTCACAGAACCCCCCAAACCAAAGAAGAAGCGATCCGTTGGGCTGTGTAGCTCCAGGACTGCTGTAGCAGCACGTGTTAGGCTCTGTCCACCTGCAGGAATTTCCTTTCCTCTGATGCCAGTGGTGAGGTGCCAGTCCAGACCTTCCCAGCACAGCAGAGAGGAGAAGCACCGGTGCTCAAATGTCCCTTCTTCCCCCATCGATCATGGCTGTGGGAGACTGAGAAGTGAAGAGTTATGCCCCGGGCCAAACAGCAAATTAATTGCAGCATTAGGAACATACCCAGTGTCTTCAGACTCTGTTGATCAAATCACACTTGCTTATTGCAATATATTTATGAAATTTAAGCTTAAAAGTCGCTAATACTTTCCAGAAAGGGTTTCTGTATTTGCTGGTCCTTCATTTCTTTTGCATTCAGCTGAAACGCGCTTTTTGTGCTATGGTTTTTTTTTTTTTTTTTTTTTTTTTTGCAGCTAGCTTGGGAAGAATTGTTTTCAGCATAAAGAAGGCATGGAGAAGCGGTCTTTAATTGTGGGGTGGGAGCAGAAGGAGTTCCCATTGCCTGTCACGCTTTACAGTGTACAACCATTTGTAAAGCAGGTAAAAATCTATGACCAGTGTAGAGGTTGCTACCACTGCTTACCGTGGAAATATCTTGAGCTGACTCTGTCCGTGCTGACTTTGCTTACAGAGTGCCCCCAGGAGGCACTGAGAATCGCTGAGCCGACTCATGTGGGAGGAAGCTGTGCTCCTTACTGAACAAATCTCTCTCTGATTTCACCTGAAAAGCCCTGCAGCAGGGACTGTGCCCTCCTCCGTGCTGCTGAGCGGTGGCGCTGGGAGCTTTTTCCACTAAAGAGCGCAGTACTGAAGCTTCAGTTGTGATCAGAGGGTTGGGTTTGTGCTTCCCACCCCTTGCTTCCCAACTGGGCGAAGGCAAAAGGCTGAAATACACACTTAGAAGTCAGGAGGCACTTCTGCATTTGGATGAATCCATTCCAACGAGGAGAGGCTGATGATGGAGGGCAGCTGCTCGCAGCGGGGCGGCCCTGAGGCCACCGTGGAGGGCACGCTCCCACCTGGACAACCTACACACATGCAGCAGACGGTGTGTGACTGGTGTGCATTTTGTAATCAGATTTTCAAAATCACTACAATTTTTGCATGCTGAATAGCTATTTATATACATATATATATATATTATATATATATAAAAATATATATATATATATCACAAATGCAGGCCACGTGTCCAATTCAGCTTTGCTTTTTACAAATGAAATACTTAATAAAAATGAATGTTGCAAGGTTTGTTTTTTTTTTTTTTGAAAGACATCTATTTAAGATTTTTTTTTTTTAATTACACACCTTCGATGTAAAAACTAAGGATTGGTTAGATAAAAACCATATATACTACAGATAAAATTTTATTAGAAACCACGATAGGTACAGGTGGTGTGGAATTTTCAACTGTTTGTTACATAGCATGGACGTTTTATTTTACATATCAGAACATAAAGTCATTTTACTACTATTAACTGTCTCTGGCTGCATTTCAATAACAAGCATAAAGCTGTTCCGTGGTGAATTACTGGATGCCTGCTCTGTCTTCTCCCTTCTTCTGTCCAATTACACCAATCCCACACTTTATCCAGATGCGCACTTGACTCTTTTTGGGATATTTTACCTGTTTCACAACTATGGCCAATAATAATAATGCCCTTTTCAAGGAGTAGTCACTGCTTCTTTTTTTAACTTTTTTTTTTTTTTTTTTTTTTAACTTTATGTCGCTCAATACAATATTTATGCATCTAAGGCAGTTTTGGAAGCAGCTCCTACAGGAATTGGCCCAGCAGCTTTCTGTCAAGGCAGTACAGATGAGCCCTGAACCTGTAAGCAATCCAGGTTTTAAGACTGAGGCTGAGGACACATGCAGCAATGCTCACAGCCAAGATTCATTGCTCCAGGAGCCACGGGAGCTGTGCTGGCACTGCGTGCAGCCCTGTGGCACACTGTGAGCTATGAAAATAGTACCTGGTATGGCCACTGCAGGGCTGATTGTAAAATGCTGAGTGAGCACATACGTGTCTAAAATTTGGGTATATGCTAATCTGGTCATCCAGGCCCCTTTTATAGTCAATGGAGAGAGACTGGGCAGATTAAAATGGGATGAATCATTCTGCAGTGCTGATATTTTCCACTCGCAGAGGAATCTAGCTCAGGCAGACTAGATTTCTCATTTCTAAATGGCTAAAGTTAAGTTAGGAGGATCCCACTTCTACTTGACCTTTATAAAAACATTTAGATAGCATTAAACAGCATGCTGCTTACAAACCACAGCTGAACTGAGCACAGATCCTCAGCCAGCACACCCCTGGGGCATGCTTTGGCTGCATTAAGGAATGGAAGGGTGGTGGTTTTCGTCTTGCTCTTCTCATTGCAAAATGCCTAACCTGTTTTTTGAATCCGAACCCAGAGAGAGCTCATGGGCAAAGCGCAGGTGCGACCAGATGCGGAACCCAAGCCCCAAGGCAGGTCTGCATTTCCCATCTGGTTGGTTGTTTGTCTATTTGCTTTACAAACCAGAAACAGTAAACTGAAGGCATCATTAAAAAGAAGCAACCTGTACAGCACTAAAATCAATCAAATATGCTCACTGTGCCCAGGCTCTACTTACTACAGATTTCACTTCTCAAGAATGCAGAGAACTTCACGTGCATGAAGGCTTTTCCAGCTCCAGCTCTGACCTGGTGGCTGCATCATAACAGCGAGTAGCAGCCCAAGTCCAGAAAAACGCGGTCCAGTTCAAATCAGATTAAAGCAAAAATTAGCAAGTGAGGAAAACTTGGCTACACACGAGTTCTGTTTTCCATTGATGTATTCTAATCTGTACCTCAAAGGCTGTTTTTCTTTAAGGTAGATGTCCAAATTTAATACTGGCATGAGCAAGATTAGTTCCACCGAGTCCAGCAGCACTGGTGCCAGCAGTGAGTTTGGACTTCACTCTAAATAGAACAAATATTTGTATCAGTTTGCTGAGTATATGAGTAATACGAGTATTTGCCAAAATTTAAACAAGCTAAACTTGAGTCATGCCAGAAACCCCACCGTTCAGTTTGGTATCGTTGGCAGCTCCCAGGCTCAGGAGAGGCCTAAGTCTGGAAGAGCTTGGGTGTTTTTGGCAAACGATAATTTTTTTTTTTCTCTCTCTCCACATTTTGGAAAATTTGTGCCTCTCTGTATTAATTTATGATGTCATTAAATAATTCTTTTTGCAGCTTGTATAGAAGGAATGTTTCTTTTGAAGATGAGAACTCCCCTGAGGACGGTTATAGTGAAAAATTCCAGCAGGAGGAAAAAACCTCCTCCCCCCTTGGCCACTTGCATTTCTGCAGTACTGCTGGAGCAGCAAAAAATTTACAATATTTTAATTTAAGGTTCTGCTCCAAGGAGGTGCCACGCACTTGCCTGTGACAAGAGGCAGCCCAAATTCAATGTGAAGCGAGGGCTTTCATTGCTTTGATAGTTGGTTGTAACAGAAGTCATGAGCCAACAACTTGCTGCTGGGGAGAATAAAGTTTTGACCTATTTCCTTTCTACAAAGTACAGGTTCAATATTAAAAATGAAAGAGCAGAAAATGTTGGGAGCGGTACAACAAAAGCAAAAAAGCCTTTTCCGACACGAATTCAAAACAAAAACAATGTCATGTGTGAAACTGCTGCCCAGGTGGTGCCCATCACAGAGCGCCCCCCCTAAGGAAAAGCCTTCAGGCAGCAGTGTGCCAAGCAGGGCTGGGTAGCAGCCACTCCCTGACCGCTGCCACTGCCAGCTGTTCTTCACAGCACAAAGTTTAGAGAAATGCTCCCAGCAGTCCCAGTATCCCTGAGGTATGCCATTAGCAGCCAGCATGGGGCTTGGACACATTGCTTCTTTCCATCTGCATGACCTGGGCAGCGGCCTGGGGCCTCACAGTCCTTGCAATGCTAATTATTCCCATGCGGGTGGAACAGTCTCCTCCAAACCATTAACTCTCCCAGCCCATGGTACACTGCAGGCTGTGCCCGTCAGGAGTTGAGGAGCTGACCACAGGTCCCTTTAGCCACGGGGTGCTGTACGTACCAGGCACAGGTAGAGAAGGCGCAGCTGCAGCTCCTCAGGTTCTCTTCCAGAAGAGCTGCACTCCAAAAGAGAGATTTCAGTTCAGGCATCTGGTGGTAGTAAGCCCTGAGGCTTTGGGATCCAAGTCCTTTCTGCTCAGCCACCACATCCTTTGCACAGTGTGCACCAAAGCACAGCCCCAAGCCTAAGTCTGACCTAAAAAGAGCTTAAAAGAGGAAATGAAAGGGTATATAAATTAGTGCAAAGTGCTGATAATGCTAACTCAATTAAAATCAGGCTTATTTTATGTTAATTATAAACTTGTTCAAGCAAAAGAAAAGTAAAACACACTGAAAGGAACATGTGAGGAATAGCTAGAACAGATCAAAAGAGTCTAGTTCCACAGACAAATAGTAGAGGGTAAGAGGCCTGAGCAAGTATCCTGCAAGTGCCAACAAACTTTCATCTGGTTTTCTTTCTGTTGCCGTTTTCCTTAGTTTTCAGCAAATACAAATTTTTGGCCTTCAGCCGTGCTTTGTTACAGTTTTGATGAATATTTTCAGTGGGGCTGTACTTACAAGCTGGAGGACATGCCTTTTCTTAAAGAGTATTTCATCGAATGACCATTTTTGTCAGCACTATCTACTTGGATAAGAATGATTTTAACAGTTTTGAAAGACAAAACTTGATAAATTCAGCTTCTAGTTGGGAGGTTTGCACTGACAGCAGGAAATCAGGCCAAATTTGTCCAATGCCTCGGACGCTGCCAGCAGGAATGGACGCATCCTTTGATAAATATTTACTGAAGAACAACATGTGCAGAGAACAGTATGTGCAAAACTACTGTCTTTCCTTAACAGTCTCTGTCTTACATAAGGCTGACAACAATGTATTTTGGAGTTCAACATTCAGTAGAGAGCTGTAAAGGAATATTCTCAGATTTTCCTGCCAGAATCATAAGGCTTAGTCCTGTTTCTGTTGAAGTCAGTAGGAAAACTTTTATAGATTTCAGCATGGCAAGACCAGGCCTCTGATCTTCTTTTCAAGGCTTTCAGCCTTGGCTTTGCTGCGCACAGGTTAGGTCTGAGGCAGAGAGGAGTTGTGTTTGATGGATGACGCAGACACACTCTGCAAATCGTGGTTTAGTCATGCCCAGTGCGTCTGAGAGCTACTGAGGGAATAATAACATTTTAAATTTAACATATTATATTATATTTAATATTAGTTGTGTATCTCATAAATAGATGAATAGTTCATAAGAAGAATAAGTCTTAAACCACTGATTATCCACACTAAATCCAAGCACTCATTTTAGCCTGAAACTTTAGAGCATATTTCCCCAGACATGAGGAATCAATCACAAGACATCCTGGAAAGGTGATGAACTTGCTTTGTGCTGCAGAGGTAATGGGAAACAGTCAGCATGCACGCAATGGATACCTTGACTGAAAGCAAAGGTGACTGCTACCAAGCGACTGTGTGCAGGACAAACTGGAAGTGGGAAAGGTAATCAATTAAATTTAAAGTGAAGAATAAAAGTAACCACATTGTCTTATCCGATGAGACATCTTTGGGTAATGATTTAGCCTTAAGCTTACTTACAAGAATGCAAAAAATGATCAAAATGAGAAAAATATCAAAGATTTCAGCCATATTAAAGTTCTGTTTTAAATGAATCAACATTCTACCTTCCCATCCTTCTACAGACACAATCAGTTGAATGCTTAGATAGTTCCCCCCTCCCTCAGGCTTTCTCATCATTTATCATTACGAAACAAAGTAGACAGGTTAGAGGCAGGAAAAACTTCCACTGGGATTTCTGTCGAGCGTCACAGAAAAAGACTGCGTTTACACTTAGTGCTAGAAGTGAGCACATGGCTGTCACACAGGCTTTTGAATGGATGACCCTTAGTATTTCTACATTTCTTCATTCGGAACATGCAAGGAGAGATGGGGTTTAACTCTCTGTGTAAATGTTGCCTAAGCACTTCAAAGGTGGGAGGTGTTAATGCAAGCAGACTGCATGGGTGTGCATGGAAAAGCAAAAGGGCAAATCTCAGCCTTCAACAAAGACTGCACATATAGAGAAAGGCAAGTGAGCGCCCCTGTGGATCGTCTGACCATTTGCCCCAGTGTGACACAGGTGGGAAGAAGCAGGGTTGGCTACAGGATGGCACTGATGGAGGAACGTGTGGTGCATGCTGTGTTTCCTGTTCCCAAGATGGTGCACAAGGAAGAGCTGGTCCTGCAAGCTGTGCAATTAACTCAAAAGATTTCAAAAACAGCTTTAAATGGTTGTCTAAGAACTCCAGTGAAGTTCAAGATTTCCAGTCCTAATATACTCAGCAATGATTCAGCTTACAGCCATTAGCAAACTATTTAATTTTTGCTTTGTGTCTGTCATGCACAAAATGAAAATAATCTTTACTCACCTCTGCAAAGCACTTAATCAGATCGCCTGAAAATCAATATTCATACTCAAGGCAGAAAAGAATGGAAGCAGGAAGTCAACAGCAAGGAAATAAACACAAGGAAATGGTGAACTTGAAAATGATGAGGAGGAGAGAGAGAGGGAGAAAATGGTAACTAGAAAATAAAAATATTCTTCTTGACAAAGAGCAGAAGCAACTGGCAGCATGCAAACAAGCCTTCTGAGGAACTGAGTTTTGATGTGGAACACATGCACTTTTCTTTAATTTCAAAATGACAGGGTATTCTCCTACCACATACACTGCATGCCCCACTCTGAAAGCCTAATGCAGTAATAATTCTTCACTTGGCTGTAATGCTGTGCTCAGATGTTTCTTTGGAAATATTTTCTTTTTTGTTGTTTCTTAGTGAAGTCTGAGACTCTCTGTTTGGCAGTGGTTTTCCACAGCCCAGCTTCTTTTGTGTCTTTCCCAGTTTTCCTTTCCACAGATACTGCAACGCATCAATTTGATGAATCATGCTTTCTTCTAATAAAATATTATCTTAATCCAGTGCCAAAGGCCAGATTTCTATGATAGAGATTCAGAATGAGTAATAATTACAGCAAAAAAGAACTTCTGCTGCACATTTTCTTTTCCTCTGTTTTTGAGGGTGAGAGGCTTCCCAAGTCCCATTATTTTCATATAGGAGGTACCTTTTCAGCTGGAGCCCATTAGCTCAGCAGGGCAATGGATTGATTGCCTTCGGCCATTGCTCCTGGGCTCCATTGCTGCTGGCCAGTGTTCTCTAAGCTTCTTTACAGAGCTGCATGGTTGAGCCCAGCTTTCTGACAACCCCCTTGAAGAGCTTGGGTTTAAGTCTGTGATTAGTGGCTGTGAGTATCCATTACCCAAATATCTTCAGTAAAGGGATACAAGTCAGTAGGCAGTTGAGTAGGGCTTTGGCGTATAAAAGTTGTTATAACTTACCAACAGGGATACAAGAGAAGATTTGCTTCCTGCAACCCACCATGTCAAGGAGCCAAACAAAACTCATTTGTTCTGGTTTTGTACAGATGACCTGGTTGTCTGTGCAATAAGCTTTGCATATCTCACTGCCTAAATAGGCAAGATCTGAAGATCTTCAGGGTATCAGCAGTGGATTTCATGTGCTGGTGCAACGCCTCACACAGAGGAACCGCTGGGAACTACCAATATAAAGTGATAATAATGGCTGTCTGCACATTTCATTTCATAGGATGCATTCCTTTTTGCAGCATTACTGAAAATCACTAAAATATAAATGAAATAAGAACCATTCTTTTACTTACTGCTAATGGCAGCCAGTCAATACTACCCTTGCTAGCTACATATAATGACATGCAAGAAATATTTTAAAATACACTGTGGCAAAATACTACACTATAAATGAGACTTCTGGAGATGTTACCTAAATTAGTCTTGCCTTTGTGATATTTAATCATAATAATAAAAGTTAGAGCGCTTTTGCCCTTCCATCAGAAACTGCTCTTACTTGTTTTGCTAGCCCCACTTTCTACTGGCAGTGTGGTGTCGTGGTGTATAATTTCATAGACACAAAGACACTTCACTACCATAGCTCTCATTATTAAACAATATATTTTAATTGTCACCACCTTTCTCATATAGACATGGGCCAAATCTAACCTTATTGGCTTCAACTCAGCTCCACAAGGGATGGATTTGGCTCAATATATATAAAAATACAGCAAGTCAAGTCATAAAAAGAAATGTTTGGGTTTCTTTTTTTATAGCAGCCAATGCTTTTTGCTATAAGAACACACATGCCTGGCCAGTAAAATCCCATGATAAAGGACTAAAGCGTTTAAGACTTCATATGCAGAATAGTCCGTGGTGTTTAATTACAATAGCAAAAGATGCCGTGTTATAAAAGCATTTCTTACCTGGAAAAGGGATCCATGCTCTCCAATGAAGCTTAATTACCCAAAGCATGCTGAGTTTTTCCCTCCTGGCAATAACCTCTAACACCAATAACTCTGCTGTTTCTTTTGACATCTGAATAGCTGAATATTGTTAATTTTTGTTCTAATTTCCTTATTTGGATTATAGCCTTCCACACTTTTACTTCCGAGGAAAGATTTGAACATTATAAGAGCTTCATTCCTGGGACACTCCTCTTTCTTTCTCCCACTTTTCCCTGCAGAATTTCATGCTCTCAGCCCTGTTCTGGCACTCCTGCTTCCCCATCTCTTTACGCCTTCCCAGCATACTTGGCTCCAGATGTAGATTTATGCATTTCCCCTCTTGCAACTCTTTCCAACTACACTAGGAAGGTTTCAGCTTCATCATGGACCCAGAATATCCAAATTTCTGCAGCAAGAATTTGCTTAGAAGCATTAAAGAAAACTCCTTGCCTGCCTGTAAGTCTGAAGCACTCTGAAGTCCTTTGTTTTACAGCTCTCACAAACAAACGTGCACAGGGCAATAACGCTCTGTACTGAGCAGTGGAGCTTATAAGGAGTCATGTTTTTCTTTTGCAAAAAAACCCCACATCCAACTGATATTGTTTTGGGGAAACTGAGTCTTCATTATTTATTAAGTCATATTAGATTTATAGCTCAGATTTGTGCCCAACTTTTATTAATTCATAAGGAGGAGACTATTTTTATATAGAAAACCTGCTTTCTTCAGGGCGGGACAGAACCTCTCCCTTGGAAAACGCTGTGATATTGAGCCATGATTTAGAATCATCACCTGTATTATCCTCCTCATCCTCACGCCTGCATCCTCAGCTTTTGATGAAGTCAATTTCCTGAGTGCATGTGAAAGCCTGTGGCTGCAGCCTGGAACAATCCTGCCTCAGTGCTTCCCTTGTGTTGTTGATCCTTTAATTTCCTCCAGCCGACTCCTGCAGGGGACTCGCTCGGAGTTTTATGCTACTCTTTTGGACTAATCATTTACGACTGACTTAAAAAAAAATAAAAAACCACTCACATACAGCTACTGCTAGATAGAGGGGTCACTAATTGGGATGTACTGCTAGCCAATTGGCAACAGAGGTTTAACAGCAGTTCCCAGGAACCTAAAAATTGTGCCCAAAGCTTTATAACCAGACCAGTTATTTAGAATTTTATTCAGAAATTATGGTTGCAATCTATAAAATACCTCTGCAGTGCAAGTTTTCACACCTTTAAAAGCAAGGCTAGCAGAAAGTCATATAAAACCGATTAATAGAAGAAATCATAATATCAAGAGAAAGATCTCCTATTCTGCCTAGCTATGGGAGTTACACACAGGGTTCTCATCTGTGTGAAATCCTGTGTTAAAAACAGAAAATCTAAGAGTACTTGGAATTACAGATCTGAAAGAAAAATTAGAGGTTTAAAAGTCTGTGCCTTAGGCTAAGGACATAACAGGAAACGAGACAAAATGCAGAAGGACCATGCGTTCATTTATCCAAGGTTATCGATGTTAATGCACAGCAAAATGGAGATCAAAACAGTAAATTTACTGTATGTGAAAAGCAATATTCATTAAACATTTCTTTTGTGAAATGTTATTAAATTCCAGCTTAAAGTTGAGAATTTGATGCTCATCTCTCGGACATCGCTTTTACTTTTTTTTTTTTAATAATGTTAACTACACTGTCATGGATGCTGTTGTTTTAAACATGCTCTGTGTAACGAGAGCATCTTCTGTGAGGTACCCAGGCAAGGACAACCATGACAGCAGTGATCCAGGAGTAAATACACAGACATGAATGGTCAACTTTACTTCTTGTTTTTGTGTCTGCGTGCATTACAGGTGAGTTGAAGGACAGATTTATATCATTTTGATGCATTATAAACACCAAGTTCCTTACTTCAAGTGAAAGCAAAGTCACACTATGTTTTGGAGAACAGAACTGGGTTCTGTTGCTATTTCTGGCTGCATTTGGCTCAGATTCACTTATGCAGTGTGGCAGGAGCTGGTAATTCAACCCTTTCACGTACTCTTGATAAAAATTCAAGATTCAATTAAAAAATTATCCTGGCGTACTAAGTCAAATGCGTTTCAAACTACTCTAGGAAACAGAAAGAAGGAGATAGAAAGTCTGAAGTGGCCATTTAAATGAATGGTTATGTATGGCAGAAACAGAAAAATCTCGAGCAGCAGCCGATTTATACGCTGCTAATTCCTTCCTTAGACGATCAGACTTAGGCTGGTCTGATTTCAGCAGGAAAATCTCTGCATAGAGATCAACACTGGTCTCAAGCATAAGATCCTAATTATTTGAAAGGCATTTGTTTTCATAGCTTTTTTTTTTTATGTGTCCAAGTCGATGGCATTTTAATGCCTTATTAAATGGTTGTTTTACAGCAGCCCGTCTGTTCAGTCTCTGTGCCCATGTCTGTACTCTGTGCTGCAAGATTTCACCTTTCATGCTGGCCAAAAAATATTTTCCAAATTCCCTATAAAAGTTTTCGATATTTCCTAAGACAAATAGAGTGGGCTTTTTTTACGTACTCCAAAATGTCATTGATATGGTAGATATGATATGTGCAGCTCTGCAGTTACGGCATGCTTGCAAAAAGGTAAAGGTTTGTGTTCATTACAGAGATATCCTCTGCTAGCTCGGGCCCAGCTTTATGTGATTTTTTTCTAATTACATAAACAAATGCTAATGTTTTCATTTCTGTTTTTCTTTAATTCAGCTTAAATCCCAGCAATACAAAATATGTGAACATTCCCCTACTGTGCTTTTAGCCCAGACATTGCCACGTGGGGTCTCTAAAAGCACAAGAAGTAAAAAAATGAACCAATTCAAAACCTACCTGAAATAAAATGAAATTGAGGGGAATTTTTTGTATCAAATTACATCAAGCATAGGCGAGGTGAACAAACATTCAAATGTGAAAAAGAAGGCAAATTTTAAAATGGTCTATTTACTGGCATGCTGACAACAGTTCCTGCAAAATATTCCTGTTAAACACATGGTGAAACCCTTTGCTTTGTTGAAGGCAAATGGCAGAACCCCTGCTGACTTCAGTGGGGCCAGAATTTGTAACCAGGTAGCTCTTTCCCACCACTCACAAGAAAGATTGTACCACCTCTCCGCTTACCCCGGAGTATCTTTATGGAGTTAGCATGTAATAACAAAATCCTTTACTTATCTGTCTCATTAGTCCTGATGAATCTGTGGTAGAGATCAGCAAAATCTTTCAAGATAAAGAATAATCTGAATTGCCTGCTTTCCGTTTTTGAGGGTTCTGTAGCAGTAAGCAATAACGAACAGACGATGGGAGCAGCCAGACCTACAAAAGAAATAGTATTTTAAGAGTACTGTACCTAAGGGGAAAAAAAGGTTTGCTTTTTTGTACATAAAGAGCTCCATTCATTAAAAGAAGTTTTTACAAATGTGGTTATTTCAAATAGTCAAAAAGTGTGAAATACACTTAAAATGAGTAACATTTGTGGGCTTTCCTATGGTTTAAATATGTGCCATACTAATAAAGCTCTCCTCACACCTCTTCCTCAATCATGGTCTTCGGCCTCATTCTGCAGGGTGGTTTGCTGCGAGGGAGCTCAGCACTTTGCTGGAGTGGAGCACTGGCTGTTTAAGTCCCTGCTCTGCAAAGATGAGAGGAGCTCACCGGGATCCAGAAGAAATCACCCATCCCTGACATCCAGCATGGCACATACCACAGTGCCCAGCACTGGGCCCATCAAGAGCGCCATGACACTGAAGAGCTAAGCAGGCACAATAAGGCTGAAATGAGAATGGAGGTGGAGGCACACAAATCTGAAACCCTGCAGCCCCCACCAGGTCAATTGTTAAAGCACCGATTGCCTTCTGGAAGCAGAATCCAAGCACATCCAAGCACAGCCAGACCAGACACCCCAACACCCGCACAAATAACAGCCGAGCCTACTGCATAACAGCAGAGCCTTGCTTTTGCAGGAAGCCTTCCCATGTCCCATCAGTTTCCTTGTCCTTCCCACTCTTGGTTTTAAAGTGGACCTGGCACTTACACTGTATACAAAGCGTCTATCAACCGCTGGCACGTGGAACAAAACTGCTTCACGTGTCATTAAATGTTTCCTCTGCTGATACTGGTCAGTGTTGTTGGACAACCCATAGTAACTTTGCAGTGCTACTGATTTAGATTCAAGCTCATTCAGCTGAGGTTTAACAAAGTGATGAAAATCTTTACAGAACAGATTTTCCAGTATGCGATTCCTCCTGCTGTGTGAAGAAAGCTTTAAATAGTTTTGCAATGAAACAACCACATTAAAATAAGATTATTCAGAAGTACTCTTTTTTTTGCTTTTGTCCTCTCGGTTCTCAGCTCCCTATGATGTCCAACACTTCAGATAGCTGTTCTTAAAAGAAATGCTCTCAAAACCATGACCTTATTTGCCTCTCCTTCCAGATCCCTGCTATCACGCTCTGTTGCTGCACATCAAGGAACTGAGTGAAACACAACGTGACAGCTCTATGATGGTCCAAGTACGAAAAACATGACATGCTTTGGAAAGTACTGCTTTAGATACAATAACTTTAAAACTGAACGCGTTTGCAATAGCACAAAAAAACTTCCAAATTTTGATGTGTGTAGCAAGGAAATAATCAGACTGTTACTTAGTTCACACACAGAGACCCAAGAAACTATCACAATATTGTACAGATAGTTAGACATAAAAAGACATGTGTCAGGCAGTATCTATGTTTTACTAAGGCACAGATCTTCTTTGCTTCTCTACAACCAGAGAGGAGAATTTAATGTCAAAATTCCTTATTGAACACTAACAAATTAAGCCCAAAGCACCCAAAACGTTCAGCAGGAGGAAGTCATGAACAATAAAGCCATGCTTATCTACTAAAATGCCCACAGCTCAGCCCCAAAGGAGGGGAGGACACCTTTGCCCCCAGCCCAACGTCTGTCCCAGAGAAGGCAGACGTCCATCAGGGCAGTGTCTGCTGGATCCCTGTTGCCTGCTGAGGCTCTGTCCAAGCAGTATAACCTTTTTCAAAGAGACGGCAGTGAAAATGTTCTATAGGTTTAACCACTATCAGATGTTCTTTGAGTGGAATATTAATTTCTCTCCTGAGAACATAAACGTTTTGTTGTAATAAGCCACCATCCTCTCAAGCCCTTTGATTTGCTCTGTCAATACTGCCCCCATCACAGCATCTGTGTCCAGCCTGGAAGGTGTGTGAAATGTGGGAGGCAGGAGCGGAAGCAAGAACATGGCTTTTTTCAAAGACTGAAGATGTTAAATCACACCATACTGGCCAGTGAAATGGTTTCCTTCTCACCAAATGCATGCAGTGGTTTTACGGCATTAATAAAGCCACAAATAAGCTGTCTGAAATAGCAGTAGCAGTAATCTGTAAGAAAACCCCAAGCCTTTACCTGGCTGCCACTGTCTGGGGAGCTGGTTGGGGCTGTCCTGCCTCCATTTGCTTTTTGTCTGTGCAAGCCATTCCCTGGCTGAGTGCGGACTCATAATGAGTTACTTCTGCCTGCAATGATTCACTTGCCTTGAGGTTTGATTCCAGGTTGATGACTTTCAGCACATTACAGACCATTTGCCACCACATCAGGTCCTGTCTGAGTGTTTTCTTTCATACTGAGATATCATCTAGAGATAATGCAGAACAGGCATGCTGCACAATACCTGCTCCCCATCTTCTATGGCTCACAGGTGTGGAGCCAAAACACGTCTTTTCAAACCACAGTAGGTCCAAGTCCTGCTCTGGAGGCTGCTCCCTCATCTGTTGCTGTTATTGGCTTTGCAAGCTCTGGTCAGGCCACCATTTGACTTTAATCAGAACTCAAGTGAGGTCCAAAAATTGTTGAAAGCTCACTTATCCCATCCCCATTCATTTCCTTGATGCCCAGTAGCACTTCTTTCTGCTTTGCTTTCGCTGAACAGCAAGGTGCGGGGTAATGGGCTGCTTTCCCTCAGCATCAATCTGTGGTAGACCACTGTGTGCAGGCTGTGTATTTATTGGATCCAGAGAACTGATTTTTAGCTGGAAAAAACTTTCAGGGAATCTAAAAAGTATGCCAAAGCCTTGACCGTGGCACAGTAATGCCTTTATCCCTGCTAACAGCAGCACTAATGGCAGCAGTGACTCCAGCCTCAGCGGTCCCAGCAGAGCAGGGGGGTCCGGCATGGACCAATGTAACTTGCAGTCAGTTCAGCATTTCAGTGTATTAGCATGGGAGATGATTAAGCTCTTCCTCAGACTTGCAAGGGCATGAGCAGCTAACACTTCTGCAAAGGCCTCTAAAATGAGATTTCCTCTGCCCTGCCACAAGGAACTGCTGTACCAGGAAAATCTGTGCAATGTGCAGACACTGCGCTTCACCTGGGCCACATAATTAAAGAAAATTTCTGGAGATTTAATTTACAAGGCAGCATTTCCAGCAGATTTAAAACTCTGTTACTAAGCATAATGAAATCCAAGTTCCTCCTTAGCTTATCCATCATTTTAGCCACATTTCTTCCTCTGAAGTAGAGCTCTAATTTTCAAAATCAATTTTACCAATGTTGGGATGTGTCATGTCTCCCAGCAGTCACTGTCTCTGCTTGCAACCAGTTTATCCTTTTTCAGTCTGCCTAGTCCAATAACTTCAGTTTGAGAAAGGGTGCTTTATTCCATTCATTTCACAGATCCTCATATACATTCAAAAAGTAAACTGACCAAATCTAGAGAAAAGCTATGAGCTTTATCCTCATTCCTTTGGAGCTCAGCACTTTCAGCTTCATGTCTTCACATTTCCTGAACTGATTGAAGAACCTTCCCTAGACATTTCTGAGGCTCTGTCCTGGCCAGCCTCAGAAAGCTTTTATGGCCAATTTTTTCATAAGTCTAATATTTAACTGAACGACTTCCTTTAATTTTTCTACAGCTGCCAATTTTCCTTGTTTTACAAACCAAGATTATCACTTTTCCTAATTGTACAGTAAGGCCAGGGATCAGATTAGGATCGCCCCTTTTCATCGTTCATTTTATAAAGAGTACTTGAGTTACAGGATTTGGCTGCAAGGAATCCCAGTTTCTGTCCATCTTTCCAGTCGTTCAGTGGGGCTGGGATTTAAATAGACCATATGTGCTTCTTATGAAGCCCATAGCTCGAAAGTAGGTGGTGTTCTATTTTTTGAGCTGATTTATTGGTAAATTTCAAGTTACAAGTATATTTTCCTCCTAATTTCCTATCTCACCGAAATCATCAGCTCACAATCTTTTTTGTTAAGCTAGATTTCAAAGGTGACCTAAAATTCTTTGATTTCATTCCAAAATTGATATTTTAGCTTATATCTTCCTAAGTACTGGGCAGCTAGCTCCAGGCTAGCCAAAATTGTTCCACTAAAATTTCCAAGTGATGGCAAGCAGTTTGTTGGACAAGACAGAGATCTTGTCAATTCATTTTTGGAGGTTTCCATGCAGCCTTACCATCTGCCCAGGGAATTTTGTAGACGGCCCTCACTTCTGAAGAGGACTTCCAGACATTTCAGATTCTTGTTGTAAATGTATTCACCCATCTTTGATTTCTGCAAGTCCTGCATAAAACAAGGTACTTGGGAAGGGGAAAAAAGAAAAGAGAAGCACCAGTGTTTCAGATACTGGTGTTTAAAAACGTTGTCTGGATGTTCTGAATTAATATGGTGTTAGAAGCTGCCAAATGGCTGCATGCCAAGACTCAACCTAAGGTGTATTTTTATGGCAAAGCTATAAACCCACAAAATAAGTGCTTTATAATGGAAATTCTGACACACTTTTAGTATTAAGAGCAGAAATATACTGGTTGTGGCAAGTAAGTATTTGACAGCTTTGGTACTCCCTTGTCAGCTGTTCTGCCTTAGCAAGTCCAGTTTGATGGTGGGATTCCTCCTTTATCTCGTTGTGTTCCAGCCACATGATTCTGGGGCCAATGGGCTGAGCTACGTTCATTCTGGACCTCTCAGTACCTTCTTCCAGGTGATTACAGTGAAAAGCAACAGCTGGGAATCAAGAAGTACCGACATCTGCTGCATTCTGGAGCTCATGGCACTGACCTGACTCCATGCAGAGAGCGGCTTTCATCAGCCAAGGGATGGGAGGTTTCCTCTGACATCGTTCCTTTGGAGTGGCACTTGTTACCTGGTGACAAATTCCTGTGGCTGGGAAGAAGGCCGAGCACAAGGGCATTGCTTTCTACTTGACACTGACAGGTAGAAACCACCTTGGGATGCTCGTTGATATTAGAGCTATGAACTAACCCATGCACAGTGGGAGAACAGAGCCACCTCAAGTGATTCG